ATAAAAAATCTATTTGTATTAGTTTGAAGGAACAATCCACTTTTCTCTAAGGAGACTACCTAACTTCCCTATACTACAGTAGTTTGACATAACTTTATTTTATTGGTTGGCTTAACACCCCACCAAATTGACGCCGTTGCCGGGGAACAGTGTTAATTGATTTGTTTCTCAAAAACTTTTGGTTTTTGTTTTCTTGTTTTTCTTTGTTTTTTGTTTGTTTGCTACCATGGATTCATACATACAATAACCTTGGAACAGACGAGATGACTATTGGAACACAAATGAGGTATGTTCTTCGTTTCTTGAGCAAAAATTACTTGAACCATCTTGTGAAAAATTTGGTTATAGCTCAACTCAAATAAGTCCTTAGGTGGTCTTAGTTAAATGACAGGTCATATTGGAGACTTTGTGTCCAAGATTACTATACTACTATTGGAAACGTGAGAAGGTCATGAGAAAATTTTAAAGACCGTCACAAGAAATATATGAACCCAATTCATATTCTTATGATTCAAACTGCTAAGATTACCCAAGTTTTACCTACAACTATGGACCACCTCACCCACCACAAGGATGTCATCCTGGTTGAATCATTACAATGTCAAGATCCAAGTTTGTCGTTAGAAGACATTGTTAATGCTTTTGCAACTAGAACTAATCAATTTCAACAGGAAACAGGAGCTTGCATTCAAGAGTTGGAGAGCCAAGTTATCTAGCTAGCTGCTGCTATGAGCAAGTTTGAGTTCTCAAAGTCTGGTAAAATCATCATCTAAGTCAATAATTGATCCCATATGTGTGCCATGTGTGAGAAAAAAGTGACTCCCAAAAGTGATGTACCTGAGAAGAAGGTAATGAAGGAAATTGTTAAAGAAGAGCCACATTGCGTGATACTTCCTCCTTTTCCTAGTAGATTCACAAAGGCCGAATTAGAAATAATAAAATATCCTTTCAAGGAGGACATTTCTTGTGTGGAGGCTACACCTACTCAAAATACAAAAGATTCAGAACATACGGGAGTAGCGAAAAACAAAACAGAGGCATTGGACAATGAGGTATTTGATACTTCAATATTATGGGTGAAGTCTTGTGTATCCACAGGTTGGTGAAGACTGTTTTTCAACATTGTGATAGTGAGGATTTGACTGCAGTTAACGTCCCGTAGTTTTTCCTAATTTTGGTTTTCCACGTAAATTCGTGTGCCTACTTTATTTTATTAGTTCTTTTATTGTTTGCTTGTTTTGGTTAGTTTCTTTGGTTGTCCTATTCTATTGGTAGTTGGAAATGAGATTTTTCTGAGGCTTGCTTCCGTTGTGTACACGGTTTATGCTCTTTCCGCCACAACAAAAACTAACCACATTAACATCAAAAGTATGTTGCGAGAACCTCAAAAACTAATCAGAAGAACATCAAAGAGTAAAGTGCAATTCCATAAAAAAAAATCCACGTGAACATCAAAAATAAAATGAAAGACTCTCAAAAACTTTAAATATGATAGGCTCAACAAACTTATAGAAGTTGTCATTTAATATTGTTGCTTACTGGTATCAATATTTTCGAAGCGATCATTTTCCGGAGGTTTATTTTCATTCTGCCCTACGGTTGGTATCATTCGGCAATCATTCATAAAGATCCTTCCAAATGACAAAATATCTTTAGTGGATACTTTTGTGTTACACTTCGTGATACTTATATATTTGTCACGTGCTTTGATCATTTAGACAAATTTGTTTATTTACCATTTAGTTGGGGTGTTAGTATTAATGATAATATTACGTCTCAATCATTTAACTAGTGTCACATCAAATATAACACATAAGTGTCATAGAAGATCCTGAGTCCTTCCAAGTCCTCTTTCCCTTTTCTCTCTTATATTTCTGCCCTTTAATTTGTCTTCAACCCTGCATGAAATAGTTGAAAATTTCCTCAAACTTACTGCCTCTACTGATATCATCAAAATAACACAACTGCAAGAAACATGGAAAGTATATTAATAAGCGAACTAGATGGATTAGATGCACTTCGCGTGCACATATGTATAATAACAAAATATAAATTAAATAAAAGAAAAACAAAGCGATTTGCTAATAATAGACAAATTGTGAATCACCTTAGTGTTCATTACATTATTTGTAAAATTATATTATTAAAACGTGGCACTTTTGGTTTCAACGAAATCAACACATAGTATTATGAATGTGCACAGAAAAAAAATTGATACAAATTGAGCAATAAACACAATCAAGTTTCTGCATCATTCAAAGAAAAAGGAAGAGCTAAAATGAAAAAAAATATCAAAGATAAAAACTATATTATATGTAAAAAAGGACGAAGATGAACAATGAAAGATAATTTACCTTCAACAGACTTGTGATGGAGAGGTCAAAGAGCATAAAGATCAAAGACTCCTCGAAAGAAAGAAATGAGAAATGTGACAAAATTAATTATACATCATTTATGATCATATATTGATATATTTAGGATACAGGACTTTTAATATTATACTGAGTTATGGAAACTATCTCCATTCCGCAATATTACACCATTATTCACTGATGAACATATGACTCCATCCATTCCAAAACGATTATCAGTTCAGATTTTCATTTTTAATTTTTTTTTTTTTTTTGACAAAGCCTGGCGGGTGCAGGATTCATTTTATTTATTTGGAATTAATGAGAAAAGAAAGCGGCAGTGCATAAGACTTACCACATTTTACAATGCAACTAAAAATTCTGAAAAAACAATAGACTCAAAGATCTATATCTAACATAAGCTACTTTTTTTCGAGTGCCATAATCTTGGATTCGCCTTGGCACTAGGCCTCTTTCGTTGCTTACGAGCAGAGAAAAATCAGGTTCCTCACCCCTAGCAACTTGAGCAATGATTAAATCATGCTAAAAGTAAAATTCTAAATTGGACAATAATTTTAAAATAAAAAGAATAAATTCAAAGGAGTGCACAAGAAAGAAATACACTAAGGTGTTTTAAGAGATTAGAATCATCAAAATTGTTTTTTGACCGATTAAATTTACCTATGAAATAGAAATAAAAAAAGAAAACAATGAGAGGGAGATCAAAGGTGAAAAGTCTAAAGAAAATGGAATGTAAAGAATTATCAAATGCGAGTTAAAATAGTTGCAACCATTTTGTGAATACTCAAATTTTAATAATAATAATGATGATAATAATTAATAAAAAATTTTAATCAAGAACTACACAATCATAATTCTTACATATTTTTTATTCTCTTAACTGCATATTATTTTTCACTAAACGTCATATTCACACAAAAATGGTATATGATGACTTAATTAAATCTTCATTTGAAGACGATGAGGACAAAGATGATGGTTTTTTTATTTTTCAATGAAAAAAGAAAAAGAAAAAGAAAAAAAGAATTACAATAGAACATTTATAAATTAATAATCAACAAGTTAATAACTACTATAAATTAATAATTTTTTCCGGTCCCAAATCGGGACTAGTACAAAAAACAAAGGCAATCGATAAAAAAATAATAAGATAATAAATTTTCAGAAAGTTTCTAAGTAAATATAAGTCCCATTAATATCATAAATTAATAATGACTTTAAATATATATATATATATATATATATCTATATATATTAGGAGCTGCAAAATATTAATATAACAAATGTATGTCTTTTTTTCTTTAAATTTACATCTAAGGAGATTTAATCTTTGATTTTTATTTCATTGCTTTCAAAAGTTTTGGTGTAACTTTTTTATACTGCAACAAAAGATATCGAAAAGTTATTGCTCCATTAAGTGATTCATTTCGTGTAATTAGTTTAAAAAATACTGAATCATCATCATTTTCATACTAACTCAAAATATTAGTGACAGTAGTTATAATGTCTACAAACTTTTATTAACTAAGTCTTAATTTATCGATAAATTAATAATTTTAATTTATTAATAAATTAATACATCTATAAATTAATAATTGTTTTAGGTCCTAACATCATTAATTTATTATAGATGTTTTACTGTAATTTGGCAAGAGCTTGAAGTCGCCAAAATACTGAGAGTAATAGCCTAAGTTATTAAACATTTATATATATATATATATATATATATATACTAGTGATGTCTGGTCGTGCAATGCGCGACCATGGCCCAGTATATCTATAGATCTTAGAAATGTTTGTATTTGAAAAAACATATTTTGCATTTGGCCCGATATATTTTAAAAATGTTTGAAGAATTTAGAAATGTTTTATAAGTATGATCATAAAAACGTTTGTATTTGGTAAAAAAAGAAATTGTATTTAACCCAGTACGTTTTAGAAATATTTGAAGATTTTAGAAATGTTTTATAAGGTGTCAAACCCCAAAATATGTCCCAAATAAAAGTAGTAGACTGAAATATAGTTGTTTCAGGGAGTGGTCAGAAAAAATGTATGCCGGAAATCAAATTTCCGTTTTTCATTGTAATGGTAATAAAACGGATTTTCAAATTCCATTTTTGTAGAATTAGTTGTAATTAGTACTTTATAATACGTTGATTATCAAAACAGATTTTCAAATTCCGTTTTTCACTTAACAATTTATATAGAATTTGCCCGAGCAACCAAAAAATGGAAAATAATTTTTTTTCTGAAACCTAAAACGGAAATCGAAAATCCGTGCGAAGGTTGTATTTTCAATAAAAAACGGAATATCTATATCCGTTTTAAACCTGTAAAGAAAAAAAAAACGGAATTGCTATATCTGTTTTTAAACTGTAAAAAAAGAAAAACGGATGTTCGACATCCGTTTTTAAACCAGTAAACAGAAAAAAAACACAACTGTTGAAACCTGTTAAAAAACAGTTAACAAACAGCACCAAAACAACACCAACAGCAGCCTCCACTCAAATCAAATAACCCTTGAATTCACACATTAATTCAACAAAATATTTCAATTCTAACATGTTTAAATAAAAGACTACATCACAAAATATTGATCAAAAGTAGATTATCAACAAAATGATGCCATTACAATTCCTCCTCGGGTTGGGCAGTGGATGGCGTGTAGCGATTGACTTTCTTTAGTTTTCTACGCGGCCTTGCTAACGCCAAAGGTAGACTAGATTCCATATCCATATTTGTAGATTCACCTTCTTGGTTGGCTTCGTCCTGATGATGGGGGGTTGGAGTTTGAAACAAGTCGGCATTGAGTTCAAAATCAAATTCTGGTTCTTCTTCTTCAACAATTTTCTGCCTTCCTCCTCCAATCCCACGGTGAGGAATGTTTCGTTTGCGAACTTTACCAACCGGTTGAGAAGGTTGTGGTTGAAGATCAACAAGTGATTTTGTGGGTATCAAAATTGGTATCTCATGTGCTCCAAGGGATAAAGCACTCATAGAATGAGAAGTGAGTTCAAGAAGGAGATTCGTACAAACTGAATTTTGGCAGACATCTTCTGATTTCTTGTAGTCTTCTACCATTTTGCAGATGTCGCTCAAAGCATCAGTCTAAAATCAATTTAACCATTAAAAATGTAATTAAAAAAAATAACAAACCTGAAAATTCTTTTTTAAAAAAAGAAAGAAACCAGCTTTAAAAAATAAAAGAGAAGATTAGAGATAAAAACTAAAAGAAACCCAGATGTCCAGAACTTAATCACCAAGAAAGGAAAAACATTTCAAGATTTTTTTAACAAATTTTAGATGCATTCAAACCTGCTGATGTCCAGAACTTAATCACCAAGAAAGGAAAAACATTTCACTAATCCGTTTTTTGAGACGATGACCTGGAATCCTGTAAACGGATTTCAATAATCCGTTTTAAATACACCAGGATAAATTAAAAAATTACATTTTATTATAAATTCTTACAAATCAGAAATTCAAACAGTGAAACGGATTTTATAAGACACAAAACGGATTTCTAAATTCCGTTTTTATGTTTGCCTTAAAACGGATATTCAAATTCCGTTTTTATTACTCTACATGTTATTCTAAACGAAACACATATTACAAACATCCAACTAAGATAAAAATATGCTTCTTCAAAATAAAAAACCAAATTGATCATCCAAATAAGTCTTTTACACAAACTGAATCAAATATCTACTACACTAACACAAACAGAACGGAGGGATTCAGTCCTCTTCAACATTTTCGAAACCATTTGCATCCCAGTTGACTTCCAATCTAGTCCGATCAGCTAAGCGGTGCGAACGATGACAATGCCTTGTTAAATGATCTCGACTACCGCATCTCCTACATCTTCTGCGTGCACCCCTGCCCGTATAATCCATGGACATCAAGAATCGCCGCTGTTGTTGACGCCCTACGGCATTATACAGAACTAAATTGACATAATCAGGAACAAGGTTCCACCCTGGAGACACCCACTCTTCTCTTCTTGGGACGGGAACAAACCTAGAATGACGAAACTGCTCACGCCATGTGCTCGTCTTATAATATTCATGTATTATGTTTTCTGGGTGATCACCAATCCACCGACATACAGCCAATGCGTGCGAACAAGGAAGCATGTAAGTCTGCCACTTCTTGCATGAACAACGCCAATCCCTGTATTCTACTTTGTGTTCATTACCACCTTTCCCTATATGACGCCAACCTGTAATGACCCCATACACTTGTTGCTGGAAATCATACAGCTCCACTTTGTGAGTTGCTGCTGTATTCTCATACTTACAGAATTTCTTCCAATATTTATCTCCGATAGGAGTATTGCACTTCAAGGCATCTGCATACTGATCACGGAAGAACTTAATTGTCTTCGCCAAAGTCGATTCCACCACAGCTCTAATTGGTAAAAATCGAACACCCTTCAGAACATTGTTGTAACTCTCAAATATATTTGTTGTCAACATGCCCCAACGTGCATAATCTTGATCGTAGGCAAGACTCCACCTCCCCCTCGGTATAGCCATCATATAAGCAAGACCTGCTTCATTGCACTCTCTCAGTTGTTGCTGAAATTTTAGAAACTTGTGATTTTGCCTCTTCTTGCCCATTTTCCAACACACCAGATTTGTTCGAGCTATTTGTTTTTTGTGTTTCGCCACCATGTTATTCCGAACATGTCGAAGACAATACCTGTGGTATTCAAAATATAGTTCAAGCCACAAATCGGCATTATTCTTCAGTGCACTGATTATCCCCTTATGCCGATCTGATATAAGACACGTGATTCGGTCGTGTACAACATGAAGCCTCAAATTACAGAGAAAAAATGACCAGCTTTCCTCGCTCTCCTCATCTACAATTGCAAAAGCAATGGGCAGGATATGGTTGTTAGCAGTTTTCACCATTGCTACAAGAAGCTTACCCTTGTGCGACCGCGAAGGTGTGTGCCATCAATACTCACAACAGTTGACACATATGAAAGGTCGCAATAGAAGGACCAAATGCCCGAAAACATATTTGAAGACCCTATATTCATCATTTTCAGTCCCGGCTGCCATTTCCACTCAACAACTGTGTTGGGATTAGATTTCTGTAGTGCAGCCATATACCTATCATAAATACAATAGAGTCCAATAAACAGTCCAATAATCCAAGAATTATAACAGTGAATTATAACAATGTGCATTTGAAAAACCATGGCAATTCGGAAGTTAATAAGTTTTAAATTTTTACCATGGCAATTCTGTGAAATTGTCGATCCAGCTACCATAACACGCTTCGATAGCTTTTCTTCTTGCATGCCATGCCTTCTTGTACTTCACATCCACCTTATAAGCTTCCTTCACAGCATCCCTGATTGATTTCACCTTAAAACCAGGATCATTTTCAACACTACGCCTGATAAGTCTGGCTATTAACTTCGACCTCAAATTGCGATGGTCATTTGTCTGGTTATTCCAACGCAATTGTGACGATCAACCCAGGACACAATTTGCCACAGACCATTCTTCTTCAAGATGCACGCATCCTCCACGCACAAGTAGATTGCCCAATTGGAGTTTGCATTCTTCTTGTCGCGCACTCTGCAGACCATGACTTACGTCCAGAAGAAAGAACATAAAATTGCCTGTTGTGATATATGTTCCAGTCTTCGATAGCTGCCTTAACTTCATCCCTGTTGTTGAAACAGGTATTCAAATCAAGGTTTTCTCTATCACCTTTCCACATCTTAACTTCAAATTCATCTCGATCCAGTATGCTATTTTTATAATCACCAATGTCTGAATAAACATGCTAACCAAAACCAGACGTAACTAAGTTTTGCACTGCTTCTGCTCCTGCGTCTGCTTCTTGTTCTTCATCTTCTAAGTCGGTTTCGTCAGACACATCAGTTTGGTAGTCAACTTCTTCTTCGCTTTCTACATAAGTCCCGTCTGATGCATCATCCTCATCTGATGAATCAAAGTCATCATTTTGACCCCCACCATGTCCCTCTGCAACGTATCCGTCGCCGCTGCTCCTGCTAGGTCCTGCTTCTGCATGTTGAGAATTATTCATCCAATATTGCTGGTCCTGTTGCGACACAAATGTAACATCCTGTTTTTGTCTGACGGATCTAACAAATTTTGGGCTGCACCGTGTCTTCATTTTCAACATATAGCTCCAAATATGATGAACCTGAAAAATAATAAATAATTTCCACTGACGAGTCGTCCGTAATTGTTGCGCTTCGTCTTACACCGTTGTTTTCAAACAACAAGTTAATTCTCAGATTTACATAATTTCTATCCCAACCCGCTTTATCACAAATTCTGCCCAAAAACTCGAAATACGACGACACGCTCAATAACTAATGTCGCATCTGCCCTGTTATCAAATGTTCTGATCGTGCCATCTTCCACAACATATTTATTTCTCCAGTGCACATTAATAAAATATGGACCATTCCATGCTATTTTTCTATCAAAAATAAAATATTTCTTAAAAAAGCAGTCTCTATATTTCCATAAACAGTACAATCATTTTCAAATAATAGCGTATAAATTTCCATAAATCGTCCAACATTTAAAAAACAGTACAATTTTTTCCAAATAAAATAGTCTGTATTTGGATAAACAGTCCAACATTGTTTCATAAACAACCCAGCATTTAAAAAAAACCCAGATTTCCATAAGCAGTCCATCATTTAAACAAACAATCCGATATTTTCCTAATAAAAAGTTTAAATTTCCATAAACAATCCAATGTTTCAAAAAACAGTCCAGATTTCCCAATATAACTGCCCATATCGAATTTCCTAATAAATTCAATATTATCATACTAAACATTCTAATTCGAATTTAATAAGACCAATAATTAATTAATTTAATACAATACGATTAAAGGAAACAAATAAAATCAACGCTATACTAACCTTTACGATAACAATTTTCAGGCGTAAAAAACAGGTTCAAACTGCAGACGTCTTCATATTTTTTTCTTCCCTTTCAAAACTTTCCAGATCTGGTAACAGTGTCAATTTTATATAAACCAAAAAACGGATTTTAGAATTCCGTTTTTTGATTAAAGCCTGCAGCTCTGATTCTTACAGATTATTAGTGTCAGATTATCAGTGTCAGACCAATAATGCAGCTGACAACCTGATAACAGAAAAACGGAATCCCGTTTTCCGTTTTTTAAGACATGAAAAACGGAATTGCTTCTTCCGTTGTTGTATTGATAAGAAAACGGAATTCCAATTTCCGTTTAAAATTTCCCCTAATATTTCCTTTTTTTTTCCGAGCGAAATTGGGTTTTCAATTTTAATTATTTTAAAATTCAAAATAAGGAAATGGAAATTGAAAGTCCGTTTTTTAAATTTTAGTTAGAAAAACAAAAAATTGGTTTCCGGCAAATGTTTTCATGACCACAAAAAAAAAAAATTAAAATATAAATTTCTACCATTTTTTTTTTTGGGTCTATTTAGGTAAATGAGCCGTTTTATAAGTGTTACTTATTAAATATAATAAACTTGATCAAATATATGTCTTGAAGTAAATGTTAGACAAAATATAAAAGTATCCTAATAAGTTTAAATATTAGTAAGATGTTTTATTGATGTTCTCCATTTGTCGTGCCGAATCAATACTTAGTTTTGGAGATTTATAATAGCTTTGTAGTAAGATTCCTCCGAAAGGTATACGTTCAATTGTTGGAACTGTTTCTTTCAAAGATTTATAGGTAGTAAAATATAAAAATATGATTTTGAAACTGGTTAATTATTGAAACTGGTTGATCAGAAATATGAGAATGAAAATTAATGTAAATTTGCATAGGTTTCAAGTTATAGCAAAAAAGAACTCACCTCACCATGGCAAATAAAAAAAAAGTAAGTAAAAGAGCCATTAAAAATTGAGAAATTATTCTTTTTCCTGTAGGTAAAAATGATGTATAAAAACACAAATAAACGTATAAACATCATTTCTTCCCTCTCCACCTCAAATTCATAAAATGCTTCCCCATAAATTAGTTAGAAGAAGCGATCTGAACTATTTATGTGATGAGTAACTCAAAAAAGTCCAAAAACCAAATCCAAAAAAGTATATTCTTGAAAGCCCGAACACAAAAAAAAAAAAACAAAGCGCTTCATTTGCAAAAAAATAAAATAATAATAATAATAATTGGTCAACTGGGAGTATGAACCAAAATAAAAAACAACTAAACAAAGAAAAAACACAATTCATAACTGACCATATACGGAAAAAAACTGAGACTCCATAATTAAAAAAAAACCACTCTAATTGAATGAAACATAAAAAAAGAAATTAAAAAAATCACACTTTGTAACAAAAACCCAATTGATCAATTTAATCCAAACAGAACTAAAATCATACAAAAATTCTAGGCTAACTAACCATATAAGATATCACATCATATTACCTGGCAACGGCTACGGTAGCTACAACGGGTGGACGCATAAAAATAATAGTAATAACACTATTCTTGAACGGGAAAAATAAAAAATAATAAAAACCGTAGAAATGATCTTTGGATATAAAATCATTTGAATTTTAATATCTGTAATGGCACCACCACAACGGCCGAAGCAAGATCAATGAGAATTTTATTTTTTTTTCCCTTTGTGTTTACATAGAAAGGTAAAGAGAATATTTTTTAAAGTCAAAATTTTATCCGATTAGGATGTAGTTGATCATAACTAATGAAAAGATTGAACATCCTAATAGGAAAGGAGTATATTTCACCACTTATTCTCAATTCATGATTGATGCAGAATTTGTTTTGTATTTTTTTTTTAATTATGGAGAAAGAATTGATTAGGGAGTCGATTGTCGGGAGATGGGGATGAGGATTTGGATTTTATGAAGCCGTGGTTTTTTTTTTTTGGCGAAAATAGGAGGTAGAGGTGGATTTGGACTGCATTTGCCTTTTAAGTCTAGGAAACTGATGTGTAAATAAAAATTTATTTTAAAATATGATGTGGAAATGCCACATGGCAAATGGTGGTACTTTCTCTTGAGCGTGATTTTTGTTTCTAATATAGTAAGATATCTTTATATATATTAAAGAGAGTTTTTCAATCGGACAAATGACGCAAAATTAGATAGCCTATTCCACATGGCAAAAAAATAAATAGTCAAGTCTACATGTCACAACCACATCGCTCTATCATTTAATGGTAATTTTTATGTAAAATTAGAAATTTATAGATAAAACTAAATTAATTAGGAGAAATTACCCCATCGTTAAAAAAAAGTGACCATAAAATATGTGAAAATGGTATAAAGTTAATGAGATCAAACACCGTGAAAAATCTGAATGGGCTCCATTTAGTCACCTATTTAACTAACCTATTTTCACCAAAATTTGTACGCGAGAGAACAACCCCTTTATATTAAGTTAAGCTCGCTACGTAGCCGTCCCCAACCAGGAAAAAAAAAATGACCATCAAAGTTGTAGAGGAAAACCACCCACCAAAAAATAATAACAATAGGAATATTTAAATTATATAATATCACCTAAAAATGGTAGAAAAAATCGCTTTAAAGGAAAATCAATAGGATCGACCATCAAATTTATAGAGTTACCGTGTGATCACCCAAAAGTAGTAGTAGTAGTAGTAGCAATAATAATAATAATAATAATAATAATAATAATAATAATAATAATAATAATAATCTTTATATATATTTATATATTAAATAAGAGTTTTCAATCGTATACATAGCATAAAATTAGACATGATAATTCACATAGTAAAAAATTAGATATCTAAGTACACATGTCGCAACCACGTCACTCCATCATTTAATGGTAAAATTTTAATGTAAAACTATAAATTTATAGATAAAACTAAATTAAATAGGGATTACCCTATAGTAAAAAAGAAAGGTAATAAAAAAAGATTTTAAAAAAAGTTCAACAAGTAAACAATGCATGTTGACAACATAATCCTATACACCTTGTGCTCCATTAATATATACATATGTATAATAATAACGTATAGAAGAATCCAAAGATAAATCCAAAAAGTGACCAACTAAAAAAATTCAAAGATAACCAACTAAAAATATCAATTTGATAAGAAAAAAAGTGACCAAAAAGAAACATAGAAAAAAATTTAAAAAGCAAACTCCACACGTTAACAACATAGTCCTATAAATCTTATGCCCCATTAATATATACATATGCATAATAATAAGGTATTAAAAAACCAAAGCATATTGAGCAAAAACGCATATGCATAATAATAGTGGTGTAGAGAAAGTGAAGGCTTTGGTGTAATAACTGATGTGTAATTCACTCATTAGTTAACTTTTAATAGGTAGTTATTATCCTCACATGTCAGTACACCAAAAGTCACTATGATGTTTCTCTATATTTATAATTTTCCTAATGCAAAGATAACTAACTCAAATAAAAGATCAAAAAACAAATTTGATGTAAAGCAAAAAAATCGATGGCCATGATGAGAAAAGCCAATTCATCGATCAATATTGATTTCTATAGTTATGTCTTAAAGTGTAATTATTAATGTATTTTTTTAAATTTTTTATTGGTTAATATATTCGTTTTTATTTCAGTTGGTGGTGCTTCCATTGTAAAGTTTTTAAAGGATAATATATCTTTTGGCCCTCAAATAGACAATATAGAATGCTAATAAATGATTACCGTTGATTATGTTGCTTAAAAATTACAAAAGAAAAAAAATGAGAATAATAATAATAATAATACTAATAATATAGTTATTATATATTAATCAACCAGAATTTTAACAATATAAAAATATATTATGTTATATATTATACCGTATAATACAATAAATGATTACTAATAAATTAATATAATACTGTAATATATTCATTACATTTTTTTCCATATGATATAATGGTAGAAAATGTTAATGTTATGATGATAAAATAAAACATAGAGATCATTAGGGAGAAAGTTTTCTTAAAGGAGAAAAGAATAAAGGTATTTGTGGGAGATAAATAGTAGAAGAGAAGCATATTAAAAAACTAAAAATAATTATATGGAGAAAAAAATTATGTCAAGAATAAGAAAATATGAAAAACCCGAGATAATCATAAAAAATGAAAGAATTATTATAATTTTTTTTTTCAGGAAATGAAGTTTTAAAGCGAGGTCATCAAAGCTAGAAAAGAAGGGTGAAAACTATGCGACCAAGAAAATAAAATGAAGTAAAAACTATATTATAGGAAATATATATAAACACACTTTTAAAGAAAAGTTACGAAGTTACATAGAGAGATTGAAAAGAAAGGTTTCAAATGGTAAATGGCACAGAAAATATTTAAAGAGATCATAATGAAAAATTAAGAGAATAGTTTTAAAAGATATAAATGCATAAATCAACAAAACGGAAAACACATTCACATTCACATTCTTGATTTCAAATATCGAAAATTATTCTAAATCTACTTAGAATAACAAAACACTTTCACATTAAAAGTTACTCAATTTCAATTTATATCATTAATATTATTTTTTTTACATATAATCACTAAATCATTAAGCTCAGAACAACTCACACAACGTACACTAATATATATCTATATATATATGTAACAGTATTTCTATCAAAATTACCAGCAATTCAAGCCCCTAAATCTTGTATATTGATCATTTACCATCCCTGTTTCTCACAGAAAAAAAACAAAGAAGAAAAAACCTATCCTTCGAAACATGAGCTTAGGAAAGGAAGATCGAAATAGAAAATCAAATTAAAATATGATAAATTTATAAAACAATGGCAAGATGATTAATGATAATGAATATCCTTCATATATTTTATTTCAAATCACAAGTTTCATCATACAAACTAAGGTGGTAGTATGATAGACGTTAAATACTCAAGACGTTCATTATTTTACAGATATTACGAATAAAGTTGATCATATATTCATTTTCTAAAAATCCGCTTCTTTTTTGGCCGCTCTCTCTAGTAAACCCTAGCAGGTGCGACTCCACGTCTTCCTGTTGGCCGCCATGGTCGGAGATCAGCCACCGATAACCCCCCATAAACCACCTAAATCTTTTGCAAGCTTCTTCCATAGAGTTTCTGAATCAGTTGCGAATAAAGATTCGCTCATCAAGATGATCTATGAAGGTACTATGCCATCTTCTAATTCTGTAATGCATTCAATCTCATCTAGTGTTCGCGATCTTCTATTGGTGCATGATCTTAAAGTACGTAGTGAGGTTGAGAAGGATTTTATTACGAGTGTATTTGGTGTTAAGCTGCCTAGATCCATTTTTTAAGGAGTTGTAAAATGGTGAGATGGATCCCGCCAGATCCAAATTCATTTATTTTGAATACTAATGGCTCTTCTATTGGAGATGCGGGTTATGGGTTTGTCATCCGCGGTGAAGGAGGTTATTTCCTTTATGGTGAATGTGACTTTTTGGGGGAAGGAGATAGTTCATATGTTGAATTATGCGGCATTCTCTTTGGATTGCAAAAGTGTGATTGTTTACAGCTCCCAAATGTGGTTATCCAAACAGATAATAAGTTACTTTCGGATGCTATTGTTAGAAAAAGCGATTTTGCATGGAGATTTTTTTCTGGATTTGATGGAAATATGTTTGATTATTGATCGCAATGGGTACTCTATTACTCATATTCATAGAGAAACAAATTCGGTTACTGACAGCCTAGCCAAGGTTGCTTCAAGTGGTATCTCCACTACTGACGATTCTTTTAGCTTGTTGCCTCGCTATGTAAAAGGCCTTGTGGTTTTAGACCAAAGGTCTTATCCATATTTGCGTAGTTTAGAATAGCTTATATAATAGTGAGCCTTTGTAAAAGTAAGGGGTCAGACCATCCTCTGCCCTTGAGATTTTTATTCAAGATAGTAATAAAATTAAGGAAAGGAGAGGCTAAGAAACTAGATGGCATGTATGTCCATCCGAGGCTGTATCCAGTATACCCGGGGGTACCGTGCCCCCCTCCTATTTTTTACATTTTTAGTCCTTATTGTACTTTTTTCTCAATCTTTTTATATTTTACACTTTTAGTCCCTGTGAGTTTTTTTTTCTCTCTTCCAAAAAAAACATCCATAATCTTTAAACGAGCAAATCTCCCAATCCGTGAAGAATTTGTGAACAAATTATATATGAAATTTATAGTACTCGTCGAGATCTATCCAACAAAATCCATAGTGAATATTTTTTCGGGCTTAAAAATTACTTAATTCTGATGGACAGAATAGGGGTGGATATCCAGTTTTACAAGATGGATAACCAACTTGTTCTAAATTGGTTATTCATCGTGTTCATGCTGATTATCCAATCAGTTTAAACTGGTTATCCATTTTGTTTCTACTGCTTATCCATTTGGTTATCCAACTTCTTAATTCAAAATAAGTTGGTTATCCATCTTCTTAAACTGGATATCCAATGTGTTTATATTGATTATCCACTGCGCTAATACTGGTTATCCAATGGACTTACATGCTTATCCAAATTATTTGTACTAGTTATCCATTGTGTTCATGCTGATTATCCAACTTGTTTGTACTGGATATCTATCCATTTGGTTTGTATGCATATCCAACTCTAATCTTTCAATGAGCATATCTCCCAATCCGTGAAAAATTTGTGAACGAATTATATATGAAATTTGTAGTACTCGTCGAGATCTATCCAACGAAATCCACAGTGAACATTTTTTCGGGCTTAAAAATGACTTAATTCTGACGGGCAGAATAAAGGTGGTTATCCATCTTTTTTTTTTTTTGAAGAGTGAATGTCAAACATATGATTGGATAACAAGTACGAACCGAATGGATAATCACTCCAAACCGGTTGGATAATCAGCAGGAACACAACGGATAACCATTTTTCAAAGAAAAACGAAAAACACATTTCTTCATTTTCTGCCCGTAAAGTTTAAATGCATTTAAAGTTCAAAAAAATATTCAACATGGATCTTATCGGATAGATCTCGTCGAGCACTATAAATTTCATATGTAATTCGTGTTATAATTCTTTACGGATCAAAAGATACAAGGAACACAACAATATGAATGTGAAATAAGTTGGTTATCCATCTTCTCAAACTGGATATCCACTGTGTTCATGTTAATTATCCAATGCGCTAATACTGGTTATCCAATGGATTTACATGGTTATCCAAATTGTTTGAACTGGTTATCCAATGTGTTCATAATAATTATCCAATGCGCTAATACTGGTTATCCACTGTGTTCATGCTGATTATCCAACTTGTTTGTACTGGATATCTATCCATTTGGTTTGTATGCATATCCAACTCTAATCTTTCAACGAGCATATCTCCCAATCCGTGAAGAATTTGTGAACGAATTATATATGAAATTTATAGTACTTGTCGAGATCTATCCAACGAAATCCACAGTGAACATTTTTTCGGGCTTAAAAATGACTTAATTCTGACGAGCAGAATAGAGGTGGTTATCCATCTTTTTTTTTTTTGAAGGTGGAATGTCAAACATATGATTGGATAACAAGTACGAATAGAATGGATAACCAGTCCAAACCGGTTGGATAATCAGTAGGAACATAACGGATAACCATTTTTCAAAGAAAAACAAAAAACGCATTTCTTCATTTCTGCCCGTAAAATTTAAATGCATTTAAAGTTAAAAAAAATATTCAACATGGATCTTATCGGATAGATCTCGTCGAGTACTATAAATTTCATATATAATTCGTGTTATAATTCTTTACGAATCATTATATACAAGGAAAAGAATAATATGAATGTAAACTAAGTTGGTTATCCATCTTGATTATTTATGTTAATACTGTTTATCCAACTAATTAGTATTATTTATCCAACCTGGTTTTTTTATTATTTTTTTAAAAAATAATAAACTAAGTTGGTTATCCAACTCGTTTGTATTGGTTATCCAATCATTGGTTTGTACTGGATTATCCAATGCGCTAATACTGGTTATTCAATGGATTTACATGGTTATCCAAATTGTTTGAACTGGTTATCCACTGTGTTCATACTGGTTATCCAATGGATTACATGGTTATCCAAATTGTTTATACTGATTATCCACTGTGTTCATTCCGATTATCCAACTTGTTTGTACTGGATATCCAACTTAATTCTGCCCAAAGAAATTTGATCATTTTTAAACTCAAAAAAATATTCGAAATGGATTTTGTTGAATAGATCTCGACGAGTACTATAATTTTCATGTATAATTCGTTCACAAATTCTTCACGGATTGGGAGATATGCTCGTTGAAAGATTGGAGATGTTTTTTTTTTGAAAGAGAGAGAAAGAATGACAGGGACTATCCTTGCAAATCATAGAAAGATTGATGAAAAAATAAAATAAGGACTACTCGTACAAAAAATAGGAGGGGGGCACGGTGCCCCCGGGTATACTGGATAATTTGCCTGTCCATCCCTTGGGTAGACCACTTGGGTGCATTATGTCATCTAGCATTGTCTGGCATAAAAATTTACCTTCTGGGTAGACCCCTTGAGTTTTTTTTATGTCAGTTGGAACCGAATACCTCTTTATCCTCCCTGTTTAATTAAAAAAAAAAGTTGATCATATATTCTATTTTCGTAAAGCGTATGATTTTATTGTACCTAAATTAAGATTCACTCCAATTTGCATCTTTTCTCAAAATCTTTCTTCTATCTCTTTTTTTTTTTTTTTGTTTTCATTCGTGAAATATTTAATAAAAAAGAAAGAGATAATACGTGAAAAGTAACATATTGATCAGCGATTCTTTGGTCAAAATATTCTGTGTTGTATTTTATAACTCCATAAATTTTGTAAGTTGTAATAACCTTAACAAAACGTAGAAACCAAAATACTACTAGTACTATACTCTTCTTAGATCATAAATTCGCTTCTGGAGAAAGGGGAAATGAAATAGACTAAAATAGAGTGTCTATGAAAACCACGTAAGAAACTTTTTATGTTTAGAAGGCAACAATTTTTTTTTTTTTTTACTCTGTTTTAGCTCTCTCTTTGAATGCCTGAAATTTTCGATCTGTCAACAGTATCAATCCGTGGAAACACTTACGAATTGGACGAATAAATCGACGATTTCGTTTATAAATCCCGACTAGAACGAGGGAAAAAGAAAATCCCAGATAAAAGCACCAAGGAATTCTTGAAATTTGTGAAGAATGATGGAGGCAAGTGGGTTTACTGCAGAAGATTTATCAACAATTGGAGGCATCGCAACAGTATCATTGCTGCATTCGTTCATTCCGACCCATTGGCTGCCTTTCTCTATTGTCGGCCGTGCCCAGAAATGGACCCTTTCTCGCACTCTTCTCGTCAGTGAGTTCTCATTTCTGCGACATTTTTTTTTTTTTGGATAAATCTGCAATGTATGTATCTGATTTTTTATTGGCTGTGTTTTTGTTGTGTTACAGCATAGATCAGGGAGGCTAGTTGGTGCATTTCTTTTTTTTTTTCTTTCTTTTTTGGGAAAAAAAAATTGGGGTTGTTGCTCATAAGCTAATGGGATATGCACAATAGATTTGTGAGGAAAGCTTTAATTTATAATAATAGTTGACAGTGAGATCTCAGACGATTTTCTATTCAGGGGTGTAAAGATTTTATGTAACTTGAATGCACGAGTGTTTAATTTAATGAGTTAATACTTTAGTTAGTTGTATTCTTCCAGAGCTGGATTCTGTCATCTGAATGACATTTTTGGCTTTTGAGTGGTCTTGGGTAACAAGATGTGCTTCATACTGATAGCAAAAGCTCTTCAACAGTTACATGTCCTTTTCGGCTGTAATGTCGAGTGATTGCCCTTATTCGGCATGTCTTGTGTTGACGTACCGCTGAATGGTATTTTCTTGATTCAACTCAATGAATAATTTTGCAGACTGAAATTTAGTCTATCTGAAGCAAGATAATACTATCACATTGTTGCCAATCTAATGCAAATGGTAAAAAGAATAAACTATGCCATGCTACTGGATTAGTGGGAGCTTTCTGCTTGAAGTTGAATTACGGGAAATTTTAAGCAAAGAACCATGTTGAATGTCGTGTGTAGTACTTCTATTTGGTAATGTTGTTCACTCTTGAATGTTGGAATGATGGACAAATCCTCTTTTAATATTGACTATGCAAGAGAAGATAGGAACACATGATCAGGTTTTTCGTTGCCTGGCATTTGTTGTGTATAACTATTCAAACTGTTTTGAAATGATTCATTAACCATTGCAATGTTGCTACAGGAGTAGTTACAGGAGAAAATTTATTATGATGTGCTTAATGAATCATGAATGTGATGTGTTGTTCACCATGTGGACAGACCTTTCATGTTTGTCAGGAGTAGAATTCCTGTTTTGATTTCATTTCTGATAATTGATTCATTTTGAATCCGGTGGAGCTTAAGGATCTGTCCTGTGAGTTACATTGTTTTTTTACTCAGTGAATGTCCATTTTGATGTGGTGCATTATTTCTATAGTTCAAACTGCTGTGTTTCTAAATGAATTTCATCCGTATAAGTTTTGATGTGCATAATTTAATGATTTGAAATTTTTGTCTTGGATGCATGCATGCCTGCTACACGAATTTATAAGAATTCTTTCACAACACTTGTGTTCTCCTCTTTAAATTTGATGACTTAAGTCTCTGTTGGATTTTTGTTGGTTTTTGAGATGGAACTAAACATCAAATCTCATTTGCCTTTTGGAATTGATAATAACGGAGCAACTTGATTGTCTACAGCTGCATTTGGAGCAGTTTTACATGTATTGTCTACTTCACTTCTTGGAATAACGGCAGTTACCATTACAAACACAATTGCTGGAGAAGAAACTGTCCACAAACTTGCATCTCTGCTGCTTGTATTTCTTGGTGGTAGCTACATCATCTTGTTTCTAAATGGGAAGGGTGGTCACAGCCATTCACACAATCAACCCATGGAGAAAATGGCCGTTGCTGGGCTTGTCCTAGTTCCAGCTTTGTCGCCGTGTGCAACTACTCTTCCAGTTTTTCTTGCAGTTGGAAATTCATCTTCTATGATGGTACTTGCCATCATTGTTCTGCTATTCAGGTTTGATTTCTGCTGCTATGATATGTGTCTTGGCCAAGTTTTTCATCTTTAGAAACTGTTTTCGTCAGCTCCCCTCTTGAATGTATATTGATTGTACCCTGAATTTTCGTAATTGCCTGCTATTTATGTATTCAGATCTGGTCTTGGTTTATAACCTGGACTCTCCCATGATAACATATATCGGGTGACCTTATTTTCGGTGATAAAATCATAGTAGTGAATTTCGCATTATACAATTATGAGGCCTCTCTGAAATCTTGAATGGTCACACAGGCAGAAACTGTAAAATGAAAAATAAGCTGGTGAAAACTGACTTTTTTTTCATTTCTCTTTTCTTGGAGAAAAACACTTATTATGTAGGAAGTGTATCAAAGTCGTAAGTCTATATTTTATTATTAGTGATTTCCACTATTCTTACTGTAAAACTTTCTGAAGTTGAAGTTGTGATCCTTTCTAGTTTGGGAATTAGCATAGTACCATATAACTTCCTTGACAGTGTTAAACCCGCTGTGCTGGCGTTTTTGTGTGGAAACTGGATTTGAACAGTATGTAGTTAGTATTGTGCCTCAAAAACTTCCGTGGCCTACAAAATGATGATGGCAACAAATATCCCCAGGAACTTCAAAATCAAGGAATCTTTATCGTGTAACTTCTGTCATGATCAAAGAAAAAGTAACACATTGAATTTTCTAATTAAATTCGTATCAAGTCTAAGTTACAGGAATTTGGTATGCTGTTTTTGGTACTTTCTAGCTTTCAGTTTGTCAATGGTATTTCAATAAATTAGCTGCCTGGCAGGAATTTACTGCACTATAATTTTCCAGTTAACATCATCATTATCATCTTCTGCTTCTAAAGTTTAAATGTGCTAAGTGTTGGCCTTTTGCAAATGAGTCTAGACAGAAAATTCATGCTTCAGGAAGTGAAGGCGGAAATGGATTACAAATCTTAATAGGTGTTACTTAGTCTTCTATAATAGATGTACTTTTTGAAGAGGAGATAAAGAATTTCATTTCAACCAAAAACTCCTTACTGTAACTTTTTCCTCTTCTGGGTTGCTTGAAGCATGTTTGACATAGTCCTTGGGTATGATTCGGGGATAATCTTTTATTTTCCTGCAGTTTCCCACAGTTATTGATCTCTCATTCTTAAATCAGTTTCTACTTGCTGGCCTTGCTAAGATCTATTTAAATAAACGCTTGCTCTGATTCATATTTTGTATTAGGGCCAATTTTTAGCCAGCAGTGTCTTTACCACGAGTTAAAAGATGTGGAAATTCTGAACTTTGATGGCTTATGTCGCCCTATTTCAATCTCAGTTACTAGATGGGTTAAACATGTTTACTAGCAATGATAGAAGAAGAGGGGTATGATTTATTATCTCTCTTGTTGTGTGCATTCGTGCTACACGCAAACATGAATAAAAGATTGTAGGAGGACTTCAATAATTCAGATCTTAATTTCTTGTGGTGACAAAACTAGAAAGCTTACTGTCGATGGTTGTACTAGTATTTGGTCTTTTGTGGATCTACGTCATAGAGACTTGAGTTGCCCATGGAGCCGCATCGAATCCTTGCAAGGTTGCATGGATTACGACTCATTTATTCGAGTGACCCCTAATTTTCTTGGTACGAATGAGATAGGGGCCATTCTTTGTATGTTGTCATTTTGTTGATAGTTTCGCACATACCCATGGGCAGCCCCAGTTCTACAATCGAAAAAGTTATGTATAGAGCTAAAGGGAACACCTGTTCATTCAGCTTCAGTAACAAGCAAATTGTTTAGTACGAGAGGCGTCAAGAACCTAAATCCTTTCTCTGTTTTAAGTTTGTAAAGCTTAGTATTTTTCCAAGAAGACATTTGCTCTTCAGATTGAAATTTGGCCTGGGTTATAAATGGTCCCTACTCTCCAGGTGTGACACCTGCTAAATTTATGAGGAGTTATTCCTGGAGGATCTTTAAGTTTTCTGCACCTCTTTCACAGTTCTAGATCTTTAATTCTTAATTCAAGTTTTGCCTTCTGGTTGATCTCATGCTTGTTCTACATCATGATTTTGCTGGCTGAAATTTGATGTTCAAGAATAAGAATTGGATTTTAGAAGTTCCTTTGTTGGTCCATGTTGACTTAAGTTTCCTTCGTGTAACTAACAATTGCCAATTTACATTGTTGAAATTGTTTTGATAACCATCTGATCTCACCTGACTGGATGACACTGATTGTGCAGCACCATAACTGTAATGACTTCGCTGGTGGCTCTCTCATTCTATGGTGCTAGTCAGCTGAAGTTTCATTGGGTGGAACGGTACGACAAACTTCTCGTGGGTTCCGTGCTCTGTTTAGTTGGAATTTTGACTCTCCTTTTCCATGATCATGATCATCATGATGGAGATGCGACTCTGACTGGAGATCGCCACCGGAAATTGATTGTACTTTAAGAGAGTCCTTATTGTAGGACTTTGTAAATTTCGCATTGTAACGGAACAGAGTTTGGATTGTCATGTATTGGAAGTTTGTTATAAGTAATGCACAAACTTATCTCCTTTTTATGAGGGCTTTTTGACATGTATGAAACCCCTACAACTTTCTCCTTTTGTATATATATAGCAACATTTAAGGCTGCCCAAGTTTTCGTCAGTCTCGAATGAAGGGTTCCTTTTTTTTTTTTTTTTCCTCGGCTGGGGATTTGAGTTTACCAATAGTCCCCCATCCCCAAAAAAACAAAAAAGAAAAATTTCACATTGTTGGAAAAATAGTCCACATTATTGTACTATTTCAGCTTAATAAAGTGGACATTTTTTTTTTTGTGACAAGAAATATTATTTCATTTAGTAAATGCTAAGACAGATACTCAAGTATACCATTCCTTTCAAGTAATAATAATATCTTTATCATTACAATATTACAATAATAATAGAATAAAGCTATAACATGATATATTATTATTACTACAAGGAGGAGGAAATTTAATATTTTTATAGAAAAAATGATTTCCGATGTAAATACATCTTGCAATCTGAAGTTCATAATATAAAGGAAATTTAATATTCTATTGGCATATTTAGTTATTTTTTTTTTAAAAAAAGTACTTTACAATGATTATAAAATGATATCCAAATGAGGCAAGAACTATACATGTCGCAGTTTAGTCAGACGAGCTAAGAAAATAACTTTGTTTTGAGTTTTAACAAAAGCCAAAATTGTCGAATTGTTATGATGTCATATAACAATTAGGCTTTGGGCCTCTAAGGAAATCAAGAGTGTATTCTCATCAGGTGTTAATATGGAGAACATGTGTTGGAAAAGTAGGGATTCTCCTCTTGATTTACAGGAAAACTAGAATGAGATACTTGGTGTATTTACATATGAATCCGGCAGGTGATGATCTACTTCCTCAGGTGATTCTACTGTGTGACTATTAAATCAGACATCTGACTGCTTAAACTGGTCATCACTTGTTCTGCAAAAATCAGTGACTCAGAGTAAGTTTAATCAGTTGGATTCTCAGAAAGATCAGGGCAACTGACGAGATTTAGAGAATGTTTATGCACCTGAAGCTGGTCTTGTCAAATTTTGGTGCTGAATGGAAACCCGAGACTGCAATGACACATTCTTCTTTTTCCGAGGAGCCTGATTCATCATCAACCGGAAATTTAAATGGAAGTGCTTTGATGTAAGAAAATACAAGGAAAACATGTGAACACATAAGAAGAACAAGAAGTACAAGAAGAGAAACCACAGAAACTTGGGATGTATTAATAATAACCCGACACCTCGGCACATTCGTGATAAAAAGAACCTGTTCAGATTGTACCATTCTCGCTCAGAAAACATGCCAGTCAAATATATTTACCTCTGTTACATCTCCAATTATGGTTAGGATCCTAACAGTTATTACCGGAATATGATTCAACACTCGATAACTTCCACAAGAGGGGAAAAGGAAAAAAAGAACGCAACCATTCATAGAATTTGCAAAAACCGCATTGCACAAATCCAGCAACAGGTACTAAGACTGATTGACGTGACAAGGTAACTCCAATTTTAAAATCCATAAACAACAAATTCTAAACAATCAAAATGCGCCTCACTCACCTGTGGCTGGCATAATTTAGCAACCATACTAAACATCTGGTGTCCCACCATATATTTTATAAGCAGTAGATATTCTCCCTTACTGATTTCATTTCTCTGAAACAGGAACACAAAATAACAATTATGAGATGAAACATCGCAGATGCAAAGTTTCACAAAAGTATGGACCACCAGAACCCACCCTAAATCTCAAGTACAGAGTATTAAGCTTAGCGCGATTGTTCTCAAGTTGAGAGTGTATGATAGGTAGCAACAAGGCAAAAGGAAGTTGGCTTCCAACAATCCACTGCAGCCATGGCCTCACATGTTCCACCTCTTCTCAGAACCTTGAAATCCTGAAGATCACCACAGACAGTCACAGAAAAGAAGCAAAATGACAAGCTAAATGCATTATTTTCTCTATCAAGGAGTAGCATACAAGAGGCTACCACATGCTAACCAAGGAAAGGAGAGGAGAGGATCCAACCTTAAATTTAATATCGTACCCGAGCTTTTGGATGATTCTAGCATACTGGGAAAAAAAGAAGGTGAAGTTATGAAGTATGAATGCAGCATAAAATCAAGCCCCTTACGTACAGAAAGAGAGTTTCTAATCCATGATTGAGAAATTCTTTTTACACATCTCTCTTTATTTGGGACCCTATTTTCACCCCTTTGAGCTTCTATTGAATCGAGAAATAGGTTTGATTGTCCATCTTTTGATATAGCTAAGGCATTCTCCGGATAATTCAAATCGAAGCAATTGGATGTCCAACTCGAGCCTATATGATAATGATATGACCGATCAATAAAAGTACTCTACCTTTGTCATATATTCCATACATCACACTAGATAGATATCATATTCATGGAATACGATTCATGCCTTGGTGGTGAAATGGTAGACACGCGAGACTCAAAATCTCGTGCTAACGAGCGTGGAGGTTCGAGTCCTCTTCAAGGCATAATATTGAATTGGAATAAGTTCGGCAGCGGATCACGAAATCTTGGTGATCTTCTCTATCTAATGACTAATGAATGGGGAGTCTGCTTTAAAACTGTCCGCCCTGCACCCACCCCCCGAGTATATGCTTCAACAGGAATCATAGATTCGAAACCTCTGGTAAAATGCCCGCCCGTAACCCAAAAGATAAAGTACATTACATAGTCCAGGGATTGGCGACTTACCCATTCAGTGAATTTCGCACTGGACGTTTCCCAAATAGGTACTATCGGGTCGGGTGAATTCAATAATAGACGCCTGTTGGCATTTTGAAGTCGATTCTTTTACATTCATTAGGCACTCAGTAAGTTTGATTACAGAAAGTTACAAGTCATAGCAGATTATTTATGCTGACAATAAGTATTTAATAGACTTAGTGAATCCAAACGACAACCATTTAAGCTTCCCAGAAGTTCCTCAAATTTATTGAACAGAACCATAAACTTTTCTAAAGTGACACAACATTAAAATAGATATTTGCAGTACCTTTCGAGTAGCTAATTTCGATTCTCCCTCACTATTCGCTCCCAAACAAACCTGAGTCATCGAAATCACAGTTTAGCACTACCAAAAAACATTAACAAAAGGGTCTCAAGAGCATAGAAAATGTAGCCATCCAAACAAGAGAGTAGAAATAGGTTTCACAAATAAGTTATCCCCGGAGAAAAGTATGAGATGGAGGCTGTATCGATTTAACACATATATCAAACCAACAAGCAGAGGACACTACTGTATTGAATCATCAATGGTAAATTTACGAATCCAAAACATGTTAACCTATTGACATGTATATGCACCGTACCAACATGCCAGAAGCATAAAGGACCACCTTTGTTTTTGGCTCTCTAAGCTTCATGATCACTGCAGGGAAAAGCTGAAAGCAAATCGACAAGTTTAGATGCTATACAACACCATCATCAATTCCATATTAGAAGAATATCAGGATAAACATGGGAATCTAATACTTGCACAAGAAAGAAGATACAACTTGCAGCGTGCCAGACAATTAAGCGATACCCCTTTCCAAAAACAAATTTTGAAATTTTAAACAACTTGAAAGATGAAATATAACTAAAAGGCAGTTGAAATGGTTAAATTTCATATTAAAGCAATGCAATTGTAAGAATTATCAGGTCCATCTTTAAACAACCTATCAAGTACTTATTGTTGTATCCCCTACTTTGAGCTACATTGATGATCAGTCGGATCATGCAGTCCCATCAAAATATCCCCTTACATTAAAACAAATTATGTTAGCTTCTATTCATCAATTTTTAGGTCTTCCCTTTCCCTCAATATTTGATTGATGATACTATCTTTTCTACTATCTTATGGGAACATCCAAAGGCACAAAGATTTTTTCTGCTGAAATATTTTCTCCTAAAAGATTTTCTAAGTTTTATTATTCCCAAAGAGTGTTCTATTAGTTAGATCCATCCATATGTTATTTTGTAACTGAAATCTTTTGCAAATTTGAAGCTTCTGCCAGGGATTCTTTTGGCCAATTAAAACATTAATCATATGAAATTTTCAAGTGAACTTACACCAAACTGATTAGCCTAAATTGTAATTATGTTTTTTGGATTCCAGTTTCCATCTTTATGAGTTCTGTTTGTAGTGAATTCCTACAACTTCATAACAAACAAACTTTATCTGATAAACTTGAATACCTGGTTATCACATCGGATGAAAAATCTAATCCATAAAGCATCTCTTTTCACATGTTCACAGTAATAAAGCATGAAATGAAAAAGAGGAAAGGTTTATCGCACTGCATACATGTGACTGACAGCAAGAAATATGTGACTGCATGCACTTGGTAAGTAACAAATAGCACACTTTTGCCCAAAGACGGAATAATAATTGCTATTATCAGACAAGTAAATTGAAACTATAACTGACAAAGTAACCTGGAAAATACATCTCTACAGAAAGAAATATCATTCCCTTTCTCGAAAGATAGACATTAGCGGAATAAAAAAAGAAGAAAGATATAAATACAGGCCTTTGGATTATATTCCCTGTTGAGCACTCGTGACGCAATGTATTTAAGGTCCAAATAGCAGTCCAAGAAAACTCTGGAGACAATATTCCTGAATGTGCATAAAACCCAAATAAATCGAAGAATAATGTCATTTCTTATAGATTCCTGGAGCTAGACACCAAGAAGCAAGTAAATGACGGATATTTAACTCGGTTCACCGATAAAATGGACAAAGAAATCATGAATAAATTCTAACAGATCCTTCACCAGCAACATAAATTACATAATACTCCACGAGAACTATATTATTAATGTTTCCATGAAACATCTAATGTTCTGAATGCAATATTTTGATTGTGGAGACCGGCTCCTAGTCTCTTAACTGTCACGAACTTCGTGACATAACTAACACACGCATTGCTCATCCACTAATTTAGCCGGGATAGAACTAAACAAACTTCAGAACTCGAGTACAAGCTGCTGAATCCAACACAAGACAATGACTAATTAACCTTCACCGCCACACACAAGAGTAATAGTTTACTCCAAATATCAAATGGAACATATCCCTTTACACAACAAATAAGTGGCAATAAAAGAGCCATTCCTTATTTCCTCTGCACATGCCATTATGATGGCAAGGAACACAACAAAGCTTTGAAAAATGAAGAATTTACCGAAAAGGAAGCAAGATGACTTA